AAATTGAAATTTTTGAAATTGTACTATTTTTTTCGCTGTATATATTTTGCCTACGGAAAACAACTGTTTTCAGTTTTTATTGTGAGAGGACATATAGTTTACGTATAAAAGAAATGAAAGGGGTTAAGATCGAACCCTGAGAGATCCCATGCTCAAACGCAAACAATTTAAATGTGTACATATTGTTATTTCGTGGCAACAAAGAACTATTGTACTGCGTGGTATGAACTATACAATTATGTTTAACAACTATATAATTTAAAGACAATTTTCGAATTATGCAGGCAATATGCCATTCAAAATTAAGAACATAAATCTTGAAACATGGTCAAACTTGTGTAAGTACAACCGCACATACTCTCTCATTATTTGCAACTGCTCCGCAATATTATGTTAATACACAATCCTACAAAGTGCTTTCTATCAGCAAACTGTTTGCGCACAGTCCAACAAAAGCCCCCCCGAGTTGCACCCCATAAGTGTCTTACCTCGCCGCCATGAAAACTGTGTGAAATTCGACTGAGGCCGGCACTTGAAAGTCAAAGTGTCTCAACACAATCTTTACAACATCAATTTTCTAAAATTCAGAGAAATCAACGAAAATGACACCTACTCCATTCTTTTAAGCGTCCCTTAAATGAAAAAATTATAGAAAAAAATATGGCCAATTTTTGAAAACATGTTCTCTTAATTCTTTGCAATAATTTCAAACAGAAATTACGTGAAAATTACTCGTTCCTTAAAAAAATGCATTAGATGTTTTTGAAAGAGATAATTTTTGAGAATGGATTTTGCTTACAGCAAAAATTCTATTTTCAATTTTATAGTTTTAAAATGTTCATATTTTGCAATTTTGAAAATTACACAGTGTTGGCTGAAAATGAGCCTAGCATTACATTTTTACCGTCCGTAATTGTTTCATACGAGGAGAAAACTGAAAGAAATAAATATTTTAAAACAAATGACTGCATCTTGCCAAAACTACGTCAAAACTACTCCTATTTTCGATATATTGTACATAACCAAATTTCAAGGTCTGTCTTCAAAAACATTTTACTGAGTAACTAATCTCGATCTTCAATATTTTAGTTGTAGTAAATATGACAAAACATTATACAATATTCGAAAACTTTGGTATTTCAACGAACATGAAATACGCTCCTAAGCGTCATATACGCTATCTGGTAACAAAGTTTAATGAAATGTTTTGTGCCATTTATGAGAAACTTTTAAAATGCCGAGGCGTCATGGAAAGTACCTTCAAAATTTCAAATATCCATCTGCAACTACAAAAACCTCAAGTTCATTCAGATCGACTGGCGAATATCAATTTTGGAGAAAATCGGCTGAACGGTTAAGGCGCTATGTACACTCTTGGAAACTTAAGTGTTGCGTCGAAAGTGCCTTGGCCCGAGACGTTGATACCGCTGGACATCCCTGCTTGCCAACAGCGCAATTACACGTTTATTTCGAAACTACATTTTGTACATTAACTATGAAGATTAAATTTATTTTATTGGAGAGTGTATACAATACTTAAACGTCTATTGAAAGATAAATAGTTGTAGTGCAGAGGAAAAAGACTTCCGTGATTCCTGCACATGAAACTGAATTGGTATTAACTGTTTTAAACAATGTTGCTTTCATGTTTCGTTATTACAAGATTTGTTATAAAAGGATTGCTAGCAGAGCGAAGGAATGGCTCAGTGCCGTAGGGTTGTTCTAGCACTCGTGAAGTAGTGGGTTTGATTCCTAGTCTGCATTGATATTTTATCCATTCTACAGTGCCATAAAATCCACAAAATTACAACATCCTACATTTGTCTTGTAAATGTTATGCATAATTTAGGCTTGGAATGACAATTCGTTTAATAAGTAATATCACAAACTTCAAGTGATATATCGACAAATGTCTACTTGTTTTTGTATCAGTACATAACTCATTAAATACCATTTTGATCTCTCCTGTCTGCCTTGATATGACTTATTTCTACTATACTACGATTTTTAATTAATGAAATTGTAATTGCGTGCATAAATTCCCTATGCTATTGATATATGATGTCAATAAAGATCATGGAACTGTTTATGTTCTGCAATTTCAATATTTCTTAATATGACAAGGCTTTGAATTTGCAATGTCTACACTGAAGTAAATAAGGTGGCATTGCCTTCATTTGGGAGGCCCTAGTTATGAGGATATTGAAATTCCGTAGCTATAAAGTAAAATAAAAAAATAAAAATACAATTTTTCCAAAACGAATTTTAAAGGTGAAAATGTTCCTAGACTTTGATTATGCTATTGGACTCCATTACAATATCATACGAACATCGATATCAGATTTATGTAGAAATCCATGTTGTGTATTGCACGTTTTTCATACACAAAATATAATACACATTGCATATAAAAATAATGGCAATAATGAAATTAATAAGGCAGTTTAACACGAAAGTGAACTTTCACATGTAATAATTTTAAAATTTTATCTTGTGCCTCAGAGTTATTAAACTCTACAAATCCAATACGTTGGGAGCGGGGAGCGGCTCGAAACAGAAGTCTCCGACACCCATCCCCCTACCCCTAAAATATTCTATTAAATATGTACTAATTTTGTAACAAATAATTTTGTAATCTACTACAAACAATTAAAAAACGGGTGCCGTTGAAGCTCTTTTCACGTAAATTACCGATTTTTTAAAACACATTTTGAGTCAAACTTCAAAGTTGAAATTAAAAAGGCAGATTAACACGAAAGTGATCTTTTACCTGTGATTATTTCAAAATTTTATTCTACTAACTTTGTATTAATTTTGTAATAAAATAAATAATATTGTACTAGACTAAACATTTCAAAAGCGCGGACCTATGAAGTACATTCAGTATAAATTCGCGAATTTTTTAAGTCTGTTTTGAATCAAATTTCGGAGTTAAAATTTATAATGCAGGTCAACATTATAATTAACTTTTATATGTAATAATTTCAATGTTTTATCTCGTCTCTCAACAGTGTTATTACACTCTAAAAACGCAAAAAATTAGGAGCGGCACCAAACAAAAGTGTCCGCCACCGCCCCCTTCTCAGAAATTCTAATTTAATTAGCCTTTAATATTCTTCTAATTATGTATTAATTTTGTAATAAAATAATTGAAATTGTACTCAACTATAAACAATTAGAAAACGGGTGCCAATGAAAGCTTTCCGCGTAATTTTACAAATTATTAATATCAATTTTGAATCAAATTTTGAAGTTGAAATTCATAAGAAGGCGTAGCGAAATCGTTCCTACTCGCAGAATAATTTCAATTTATCATGCGTGGCGGAATCATTCTTTATCGCAGAATAAAATAACTTTTACCACGCGCGTCGCAATAATTTCTACTCGCAGAATAAAATCACTAATCACGAGTGGCGCAATCACTTCTACCACGCGTGTCATATACTATTTTTAAGCAGCCTTACTGACTTTCGCTTTATGTTTATTCTAGTATTCAAATAATTTAATGACTCGTTAAGGTCAGCTGTAGGTGTTGCGATCACACGGTAGTGTTATGTTTTCTTTGGATTCACATATTTATCAGAATACTTGAGCTTCATCTCACTTTTAGCACTTGTGCTAAAAATTGAACTAATAGCACGCTATGCATACGAAACACTTACTGGCGGTGTTCTAAAAATAATATTCGTCACTAAAACATAACGGGAATGCTTAATTCCGACCATTACAAAAAAAGTAGTGGTAATTAAAAAACTCTACAAAAGAAATTGTCGCCTTTTTGGGCTAAATAGTTGCCACAAACGAAATTTTGTAGCTCTTCGATTAATACAGAAACACGATTTTCTGCTAACTTATCAGCACAATAATTTCAGGAAAACGATATCACGAACATAAATGAAAAACCTTTTCGTGAGAAATTGTCGCTATTATTGTTGCTAATTAGTTGTGCAAAAACAACTATCATGCTTTAAAACTAATACTGAAAATGCCAAATTTGGCAAAAATTGAGAAAATCATTTATAATGATTCAATGCTTGTTAGGCCCACAAAACACATACTTTCGATTCAAACTAGTTATGTTCATAAACGTCTACGCACAAATTTTAAATAAAAGGATCGTTAATATCCATGATATTTTAATAACAGAACAAAATTGTTTTACAAAAGGACGACCTTGGAGAGATATTTTTACCATACACCTAATAGGAAAACGTATAGGATTTAATCTAAAGACGCCGAGATATTTTGCCAAATTTCGCTATACAACGCATATATTCATCACATTTGGACTGTTGAAACTGCGCTGGGTTCAGAAAGCGTGTCACCATTCAGCTATATGCTTACATTTTTTAAATTTCTTGACAGTAAAAACTTGAACAAAAAACTTGAAAAATTTTCGTTTTCTGAACATTTTTCAACTTAACATCGCAATCAACCAGTTTACTCTACGCGTTTACTACGACATTTTGTAACTTTTAATGATTGAAATTTTTAGGACAAAAATTACGTTCTCACATGTTACTTCACAATTTAACATTGATTTTTATTTAACGTGGATATCAAATGTTATTTTATGTTTTATTTACGTTTAATTTACACCTCAGGAAATATTGAATTTGCCATTCTACCTCGTGTACTTTAAAATACGACTAACCATGTTTTCCATTCCTGTTTGATTTGTTCAGATTTTTGAGTTTTGTGTGGAAGTGAATATTTAACATTTAAATTCAGAACTATTAATTCTAGACTTATATTAATAAATTGCAAATTTACGCAATTTTGTAAATGTCAACGTTTCTTGAAACTTTAAAGTAAATTGTATTTTCCAGTCACAAAATATAAATTTTATTTAATTGTAGGATGTCAGGAATATTGTTATACAAATACTATCTCCGTACCTTCACTGAGATAGTATTTGGGACGTCTTTGCAAAGATCACGGATAAAGGTTTCCATATGGTCAGTGACATTTTCCCATCAGATCTTAATACAAAATTATATCGTAATATATTTATTAAACCATTTTACAATGCTCTTACACAATTGTGTGCTCGAGTTTTACGAAAGTTAATTACAAATCATCAGAAAATACTGAAATTTACCACAGAACTCGAAATATACAATTTTTTACATATTGAATCTTTTCACAAACAATTTTTATAACCAAACTCGTGAACCAGGTACATAAATATTAGTTTCGAGCAGTTTCAGATTTATTAACGCTTCTACTTTTTTCCAGTTACATTACGTTAATACGTTTTGAATGTCAAGATTTAGCGTGACTTAATTTCTTAAAATAACAAATATTCTTAACGAAGTCCATTTACTCAAAATTATCGTATTAAAATTAACAAGACGAGTTTGGATTTCGAAACCTGCAACTAACTTTTTATACAATGTTAAAATGCCTGCTTAATACAAATTCTACATTTTCAGTTGCATTCCTTTCGCACATCTTCACCGCATGCTGCTTTCAAAGCTGCTGCTGCGGACTTTCTGAAACAAAAGTCGGTCATTGAATTTCACAAGATAACTAAACATCATAATATTTGAAACTGAATTACGTTAAAATTCTGAATCGCTATTACGTACTCATTAATACGTTTTTATTCAATCAATTATGGGGAAACACTACAAGCGTTTATCTCTGATATATCCAATCTTTAGTTTCTTTTTATTTCGCTTACTTAATCTAATTTCTACTCATTTCTGGAAATCCAATTTTGAATCTCAAGATAACCAAGATTATTGAAGTTTTCTGGTAAGTCGATTTTGGAAACTCATCCCTACACAAAGCACTACGAAACCATTATGATTAAATTCATTTATATTTATCCTAACGTCTAGGGCATAGGGGGGGGGATTACTTTTTCGAGTGAACCTGTAGGTAGAGCCTACTCCCAACACATCGTAGCTCTAGGTCGAAAGTACCGCTCACCTGAAATTTAAATTAAATGTGCGTAATTATTGCGTACTTTTTCCGCAAGCATTGCAAAAGTAACACCGTTCGAAAATCAAGGCCAGGAACTAGGAACAACGTTCATACGTTTTAATGGTCATTTCTGGCAGAACTATGAGAAAGTATTGTTTAATAAGTAATGGGCGCTTCAGTATTTAAGGCCATTGGCGACCTTGTCAAATTTTCTGTTGAAACTAAGTCTACTAAAATCACATTTTCCAAATTAGAAATAAAGGATTCTTGCTTTGTCATTTTTGAACGCGCCGAATCCCCAAACAATGTGCTTACGACCCTTTCGTTTACATGCCACACAATATTGGCAAGAGCAAGACCAGCTACGTTCACTGTGAGAAAGGAGTAATTGAAAGTCTTAAACGGACCGCTCCCCGATCTGACCAACAGCACAAATTACGACGAAATTTAATAACCACAATCTCTTCTATTCTCGTACGATTGTTACTATGCTATGCACGTAATGTATGATAGAAATAAATAATTCTAGGTTCTAGGTAAGGTATGATTAAACTAGTTGGCATTAACATAAGAATTTTTTATTAATATTGTTTTTCTATTTCTATAATTCATCAGTACTACCTTTTCAAACACTTCAAAAAGTTTACGCATACATGTTTACAAGACCCAAACCTCCAATCTACTTCAGCACAATTTCAGTACACTTTTGCTGTGAAACTCCGGAACACTTCCACTTTTGCCGTCTCTATCCTACACGTGTGCAAGATGCTGATGGCACCACACCTCAGTCGCCTCAGAAGCGTCAGTCCTCGTCCATGAGATGCCGAATACTTTATTTTGTTTTTGGACTGCCGCTGAGGCCTCTTAAGATTAACATCTTCACTGAAGCTGTGGTATGATAGTATGCAGTATGTAGCAGACCACGGGCCCACTTATCTGAAACATTTCATCAATAATCTGAAACAATGAAATCCCGAATTTCAAATCTGCCTTGACCACTAGTTTCTTAAAATGATTTCAACACTAGTAAATCATTTTTACCAGCAAAGATTTATTTGACAAATTCCCTTACAACATTTTACAAATGTCATTTCCTTGTTTTTTAAATTTGTTACAGAAAAACAGACTTAAAATTTTTTTTATAACGAAACTTTCAGACTATACCGGTGTGAATGTATGATAACTAGCATAAATCATTGTTTTAAGAGCTTCTGTGGAGATCGTGTTGCACAGAACCGTTTTAAAATACTATTAAATCATTTAAAGTTTTAGACAAGGACACTAAAACAAATGGCCAGGAGACAGACTTAATGACTTCTCACTGTTTCTAAACTTGACAGATACGTGTCTTTTATAACAACAGTCTCACGAGTCCACCTCCACGACTCCTACAATGATAATAGTAACTTTATTAACAGCAATAATAATAATAATAATAATAATAATAATAATAATAGCGTGCGTAGGCAAATCTGACATTTCGCGAACAGTAAAAATCATCTTAAATGTTTCTTAAAATGTGGGGGAGAATACATTCAAGTACATACTGTTAATTACTACTAGTTCTATACAAGTTTTAAAACTAGTGAAAGTGGGTCGAACTTCTAAAATATATTAGACAACAAACTTAACTTTTAACGTTTCTTTGTGGTTTGTACCTCTATTACAATAATTAAAATGGAAAAAACTCTACCCTAGACGATTTAATGTGATTGTATAAGTACTTTGAAAGCAATCTTTTAGCAATTTCATACAACCATCAGATAATCTTTAATTTCTTACTTCTGTAGGATTTTCAATTTTGACTTTTTAACACGAGTTTCTAATTTCGATTATTAGTTTCGAAGTAGTGGCCATCTCACCGAGTCGGTTGATCCGTTTTGCTTAAACAAGAAGAGATTTTACTTTAAACCTAGACCACAGGAATGTTTCAACAGGTCAGTTCCTTTGTCGTCCTCAGGTCGTGAAACGGTCCGTTTCTAGGCCCGTCTCCGTCCTACGATGCAGGAAGGCAGAACTGCAGTTCCTCGAGGCTGCTATAGCTTTTGACAAAAAACCTGTCCCGAGGCCCTGTGGGTTAGTGCAGTCATTCTCACTTTACTTCTATTCTGAACCTAGAACCGAAGCGATTTTTAGATCGCATTGTAGAGAAACCATCATGATACCTTTTAATTTTTTAGTAATTTAACAAACTATAGCATCCTCCCCTGCAGTGAATTAGTGCTAAATATTACCTTCGTATTTAGATACTACTCCGTTTTTCGTGTAATTCCTTTACATTTTTCATATTGGGTTTTACAGAAAAGTCAAGATTCGCAATATACAGTTCACTTCCACAGCTTTATTTTGTTACTACTTTAACATGCATTACGTAATATATTTCATTACCCACCACCACCACCACCACAACGTATATAACCCGTAAATTCTACCGTATGTATCAACTTTATTGTTTGCATGATATTCAGAATTGGTGGTTGTTACTTCTCCTGCACTGTATTATGGGAATGAGAAGTACTTTAATGAATACGGCCATGACTAATATGTATATTAACGCTGATTCAAATACAGTTAAGATATCAGGTGGTGAGAATTCACGCAATTTGATACATGTTCGTCCGTGTCAAGCCTGTCAGATTAGAAGCTTGGAATGAACAATGTAGACAAGTCAGATGTAATATTAAGTTTGACCGTTCCGGGGATCATTAATGTGTTTTAATTTTTCGATTATTAGCGATTCCGGGCACGTCAACTGCTGACTCATAAATCCCGTAAGTTTAGTGTGTTTTTTGCTCGCGAAGTGTCTAATCTTCCACTGCTGGAGGATGACATCCGCAGTCGACTTGCCGCCGGCTAACGGGGAACCGCCCCAGCCGCCCAACAAGGTTCTGCCCGTACAAGAACCGCCCAACAAAGTATCTCCCGCCGGCAGGCAACCGCCCCAGCCGGGAGCTCCAAGTTCCGTGTGAATAATGCATGTACCTTCAAAGGCAGGTTTTAGTTGTTAATACACCTTGTGCACGTTTTTTTCTAGCTACAGAACCCCTACAACACCTTTGTACGTGAACATAGATTATTAATGAAAGTACCAATAAAGCGTGATTAGCAACATTTGAAAACTAGAAATTTTCGGTTCAGAATAACAAATACATCTGCAGACTATAGATTTGCGAATAATCTGTCGGATGTGAGATTTAAAACAAATCTAAATAGTGGCTAACCCACGTCACCATACAAACCGCTGTCTTTTCACATTTCACACAGATGGAACGCGAGATAGCTCACTTCTTTGCAATCTTTGTCTTATTTGAATACATATTCGGTAACCTCACTTTTTTACTAGTCTTTTAAGATGGTCTGGTAAAATGATGGTCGATCACATTGACGAGTACATGAAACAGTAAAGGTACTGGCACAGAGATCTGTTGAAATATACCAAAATAAGAAGAAATAGAGCCGAAAAATAAGCAGAATTAGAACAAAGTAAGAACTATTAGAACAGTTATATATCGGCAGTTTATTGGGTTAGATTGTTTAGTCTATATTAGAGTGTTCAAGAAACTTCTTGAAAAAATAGCCCTATTCACATTAATTAAAATTTATGTATTCTTGCCATGTATACACATAGGCTTTACAATTTTTATTTTGCCACGTCTCACGCGGACTTATAATCCTGTAAGGAAACATTATTTTGCGTTTATTTCATTAGTATGTACATATAGGACTTAATAGCAGTTTCGAAAAAATACCACCTGTTTTAAGTGTGCTGTCCGCCAACTAACGTTTCCCACTCAAGGACGACTGAACGATGGGCAGCCCTTCAGTTTTCCTTAAAGTAGGAAGGCGTATTCCAATTCGTTATGCATTTTGATTTATTCTTTATATTTTAAGAAGTATGTACAGGAACGTCGTAAACCTTGAAAGCAAATTTAATACAAAATCGAATTGGAACAAATCCCTAACACTTAACCTACCCACCCTGCCCTGTTAGCCTTGTAGGCGTGTCCCTCCTAAACCAACAGTTGGGCATGTGGTCTTCCCTGCTGAACCACAACCTAGCCTACAGTCCAGAGGGAGGTCACCTGCCATTCAAATCAATGCAAATTGCGAGGTAATGCCATCTCGCAGCTCAATAAGTTTCCCACCCACACAAGGTCCCCAATTTCTCTATGACTGAATGCATGCCATGTGCAATAGCGGGAATCCAGCACAGGAGTGGATCCCAAAATATGGCTAATCAAACCGTCTTATAACGGACTATCCGGGCTCTGCAGCCTCTTTCCTACATTTGCCCATCCTAGTATTGAAGTAGTAGAACAATTCTTTATCTTTAAATGTAAATAAAAATCAAGTGAAAATGACCTTAAATATTCTTGCTCTTTTATTTAAATTAAAAATTAATTTCAATGTTAATTAATATTAAAGTTAAACATTTCATTAACTATAACCTTTAACAACTAATCTACATTTAAATTTACTCTGGTTTTAATAAAATAAGTACATTTCAGTGAACTAGACTGCAGTAACCCAGCAATATATTACACTAAAGGCGGACAAATTCCCC